ATGGTTTTCTTGTTTTTCTTTTCTTAAAGGACTGGAGCCACAGCGGGCAGGGAAGTCATGGGGGAGGGCTTGGGAGGGGTCGGGGGGGGCTTATGCAGAGTCCCCCATGCAGCGTGGGGCAATGGGGGCAGTGGGGATCACCTCCCACCCGGCTGCACCTGCTAAGTTGGGGCTTTTTTTTTAACAAGTGCCAGGAGCTGGGGCAGGCGGGGCAGCCATTGCTGGCCTGTGGGGGTGGCGGTGGCCTGGCTGATTTGCAGATTTGGAGATTTGGCAACAGCTGAATCTCCAAATCGGATTCAAACCACTGAATCAAATCACTGTGCCCCAAATCTGCCCAGTCCGAATCTGAAGGGAATATTAGCTGCTTTGCACAGAGCTATTGGTTATGTAACCATTCACCCTACAGTGTACAACATACAGATAACTCTATCATGGTTTCATATACAAAATTCTGCTTCCCTTATTGAGACCAAATCTAGTCTAAATTCCTAGCTGAAGACTTATTCAACGTGTGACTCATGATATGCTGCATTTCAGATCCACCTTAATATTAGACACATATGCTCAGTAGTGGTTAGCACTTACGCAGAGTGTATGAAAAGCCAGTTTTAAAAATGGAAGAAAAAAGGAAAATAATAATAATAAAAAAGAATCACTTCAGTTTGTAACATTTGAGACATTAATTTGATCGAAAGTTATAGATTTATTTACTTTCATTATACTAAAAAAATAATATTTCATGTTTCATTTCTTAATTAAAATGTGGTATTAGGCTGACATCTCATGAGCAGTGTGTGTGACTGTGTATCCCTCTGATCTCACTTGACTTTCACTTTGCTTTGTATTACCATGTTTTGCCATTGTTCCCCTGCTTATTTTTAAGTTTGTACCTCCAGCATCCAGCAGATTGTCTTAAGATAATCCTGCTACAGTGTGGTGCACCTTACAGTTATAGTATATTTACCTTTAAGACAACCTTGAGTGGCAGAGCCATTAAATTGGCCCCACTTCATTGATAGGAAGCTGATATTTCTAAAAGTTCCTGATGTAGAACCATAAGAAATAGGGATGGGAAAAACCTTAAGAAACTGTACCTGAGCCAAAGATCTTCTGGAGCGGAAAGAATATCTGGTTTCATTTTAGTCTAGTCCTTTTGCTTCTCTCTCTGATTATTCTTGCTTTTCTCTCCACAGAGTGAATCAAAGACAAAGAATGACCAACCAGAGCATTGTTACTGAGTTCTTACTCCTTGGATTCTTTAATAATAGGGAGTTGCAGATTTTGCACTTTGTGGTGTTTCTAGTGATCTATCTGGCAGCCCTGCTAGGAAATCTCATTATCACTGTGGTAGCCCTTGACCGGCATCTTCACACTCCCATGTACTTCTTCCTATTCAACTTATCCTTTCTTGACCTCTGCTACATCTCCACCACGGTCCCCAAGTCCATGGCTAACTCCATCACCAACAGCAGACTGATCTCTTTGTCAGGTTGTGTTGCCCAAGTCTTTCTTGTTATCACCTTGGCAGCTGCAGAACTGGCTTTTCTCACGGTGATGGCATATGACCGCTATGTTACAATCTGCCTTTCTTTGCATTATAGGATGATCATGAACAGAGATGCCTGTGCCCTGATGGCTGTTTGCTGTTGGCTCATCAGTTTGTTGTACTCTGTGTTGCACACTGGGAATCCTTTCAGGCTGCATTTCTGCCAGTCCAATATTATTGGCCAGTTCTTCTGTGATATCCCACAATTACTGAAGATCTCCTGCTCCAATACACAGCCTAATGATATTTTGATGTTTGTCCTAGAGGCTGTTATAGGACTAGGCTGCTTTGCTTCAGTAGTGATAGCCTACTGCTGCATCTTCTTGACTGTGCTGCAAATCCCTCCCACCCAGGGGAAGTATAAAACTTTCTCCACATGCATGCCACACCTCATCGTGTTTTGTTTATTCCTCGGCACTGCTGCATTTACATACACAAAACCAAGATCTGTTTCCTCCTTGATTAAGGATCTACTGGCTGCTGTTCTTTATTCTGTACTCCCCCCAGTCCTGAATCCCATTATTTACAGCCTGAGAAACAAGGAGATAAAGAAGGCTCTGAGCAATTTATTTGGCAGGACCATTTTTTAATCAAAAGAAATGAATTCTTCAGCTTGACATGTTATTACAATGAGGTAGGACTCCCAAGGCTATATCCTATTTTTTGTTTCATAACTGGAATACACCTACTGCCAGGTTAAAAGGACTTTTGTGACAACCAATCTCATATTCATTCTAACAATCAGCTTTAGGGACATCCCCTTATGCCATTTTAAGTTTAATCTAAACTTTAGTAATTTGATCTGTTGGTAATATTTTACACTGAAAGCTATATTGCCCACATTTCCTTTAATGGAGTTGCTTTTAATTTATACTTTTTCTTGAATGAGAGAAGAACTAAAATCTACTTTAGTCTCCAGCAATACCTGTGATGAGTACACGTGGAGCTAGTAAAAAATGCATTTCCATCTTTTTTTTTAGGAGAAAGGGAAAAAATGTTTTGATGATTGTTTTCCTAATAATACTTTTTTGTATCTTAGCTATACGAGTTTCAGTTCAGAGGAATGACGCTTTTATTTAAAAACTAATTGCCCATCAAGAATGATGGATTTCAGGGAGTGTTAACATGGCCCCCTACCATCACCTGCTCACCCTTTGGGGCTGGACATGTAAAGACTCCCTGCACTGCCGCTGCCTCCTCCTCCAGCTTCTGACATGGGGGCACCCTCCCCCCACCCACCTCCACCTCACAGCAGGGCTTCCCCCTCCCTCCCCTCCCATCCCTCCCTCTCCGCTGCCTCCCCCTCCCTGCTGGCTGTTGTTGGGGCGGGGT